GAGGCAGGTGGATCACAAGGTCAGGAGTTCAAGACCAGCCTGGCCAAGATACTGAAACCGCGTGTCTACTAAAAATACAAAAATTAGCTGAGTGTGGTGGCCGTGCCTGTAATCCCAGCTATGCAGAAGGCTGAGGTAGAGAACTGCTTGAACCCAGGAGGTAGAGGTTGCAGTGAGCCGAGATCGCGCCATTGCACTCTGGCCTGGGTGACAGAGCAAGACTCCATCTCAAAAAAAAAAAAAATATGTACTTAGTAAGTAAAGCATATGGTAAGTATTTAAAACATGATAGTTGCTGTGATCTGTAGCTTTGATCAGTTTTTTCATTTTCCCTCCCTTGGCAGTCTAGAGACCTGAGTCCTGACATGGTGTCCTCTCCGCCATGTTCCCTCTCTTCACTTCCGCTTTCCTCTTCTGTCAGGTATTTTGTCAAAATGGCCTGGGCCTGGACGTTCTGTCTCCTCCTGCCGTTCATTGCCCTCACCAACTACCACCTGACCGGCAAGGCTGGCCTGGTCCTGCGGCGGCTGAGCACCCTGCTTGTGGGCACGGCCGTCTGGTACGTCTGCACCTCCATCTTCTCCAACATCGAACACTACACAGGTACCTGCTACCAGTCCCCGGCCCTAGAGGGGGTCAGGAAGGAGCACCAGAGCAAGCAGCAGTGCCACCGGGAAGGGGGCTTTTGGCATGGCTTTGACATCTCAGGTCACTCCTTTCTGCTGACCTTCTGCGCGCTCATGATTGTGGAAGAGATGTCTGTGATGCATGAGGTGAAGACAGACCGAAGCCACTGCCTCCACACGGCCATCACCACCCTGGTGGTGGCCCTGGGCATTCTGACTTTCATCTGGGTGTTGATGTTTCTGTGCACAGCTGTTTATTTCCACAACTTGTCCCAGAAGGTGTTCGGCACCTTGTTCGGTTTGCTGGGCTGGTACGGGACATATAGGTACTGGTATCTGAAAGCCTTTTCCCCAGGACTTCCTCCCCAGAGCTGTAGTTTGAATTTGAAGCAAGACAGTTACAAGAAGTAAAAGAGTAACAAAAGGGGGGATGGAAGGACAATGACAAATCTATTTTTTTTTTAAATATATTTTGCTTAGTTATTTGGGTAAATTATTGATCCTACTTCAGAGGGAAAGTGTACCAGGCAGTTTTGGTGGGTGGTGCTGAAGTCTGGGGAGTGAATTTAGTCCTCAGACTATTCTTGGCAATATCACCAGTGTCACAAGCACCACCATGCCCAGTTAGGCACTTTTTGTCCCTGGCAAGGCTTGACCTTTGTCTGGAACACTCCTTTTGTCCCTAGAATGGGGAGCTAAGGCTCAGCAAAAGGGCAGAATCAGGAAAGCCTCTGTGCTGTGGCTAGAGGGGAGGCCAGACAGAGCCTTGGGGCTCCTTTGCTGCCTTCTCCCAGGTTCTAGTTGTCTTTAGATTTTAATGGCTCTCACTGCTGTTACTTAACAGTATTTCTGGCCAGGCGCAGTGGCTCACACCTGTAACCCCAGCACTTTGGGACGCTGAGGCAAGCAAATCACCTGAGCTCAGGAGCTGGAGACCAGCCTGGCCAACATGGCGAAACCTCGTCTCTACTAAAACTACAAAAATTAGCTGGGTGTAGTGGCATGCACCTGTAATCCCAGCTACTCAGGAGGCTGAGGCAGGAGAATTGCTTGAACCTGGGAGGCGGAGGTTGCAGTGAGCCAGGATTGCACCACTGTACCCAGCCTGGGCGACAGAGCAAGACTCTATCTCCAAAAACAACAAAAAAACCCCCAGATTTCCCACTGGTCAATTTTGCATGGGCATCTGTTTCAGGCAGGGTTCTTTATAAAACACCCTGACGCCGAAGGACACTCTCTGGTTATAGTATTTGTTTCATCCATGAAATGTTTAAATATTGCAACTGGCTGGTGATTAGCCACTGAAACAGGCCCTTTAACATGCAGTGCCTCTCTGACCGAGTACTGGATGATTCGTATGTAATGGACTGCGATCATTTTCTGTCCATGTTTTCTATTACTATATGCTGGTTTTTTGGAGCAATAAGACCACCTTTTTTTCTGTTCTATTTTGAGCGAATCTTTTACAGTTTTTGAAAAGAACTATGGCATTTGTTCTTTGTTGGTAAAACTCCTGAAAATAACTCACAACTCCAGTGCTGCGCTCTGGCATATGTAGATTGTTTTGAGGGTTGGCTGGTTGGTTTAGAACACTAATTTACTTGTTAGAAACCAAGCTATGGGCTGATAGTCGTAAATCCCACCTCATGGGGCTGTTTTCTCTGTTAACAGTGAAAGCTGGGCCAGGTGTAGTGGCTCACACCTATAATCCTGGCACTTTGGGAGGCCGCTGTGGGAGGATTACTGGAGCCCAGGAGTTTGAGAGCAGCCTGAGCAACATAGTGAGACCCCTGTTTCTATAATAAAAATAAATAAATATGATAATAAAACCAGAAAGCAGGCATTTTAGCAACAGCCTGCTGAATTTTAAGGTGAGTCAGGGTGACTTTGCAGAATGTATGCTTGCACTGAAAACTCCCCTGACCACGTATCAGTGGCACAGACTGAACAGTTTGCTATAGGATCACGTGCTGAGTGTGTTGATCACTCTGCTGTGGCCCAGGGCATCTGTACCTTTTGGACAAGATTATCATAATTCAGACGTGAAGTAAAATGCCTCCCTCAGATGGCAAAAAGCCAACCTGTTTGCAAAATCATGCTTATTAAAAGGTGGCGTGACTGTGGCCCCTCCCTCCTGTTAATTTGTGTCACCAACCAAACCAAATCATACCTAGGCCTATCCAGCTGGCCTTGAAACCAGTTCTTTTTCTTTCCCCTTTGCAGCACTTTTCCGTTTCCAGCTTTGTCATCCTGTGGCCTTTGCTGTGACAGTGCTGGGAAGGGTTGGAAATCCTGTTGCCTCTATCCACAAAAGCACAGTTCCATGCCCTGTGATAAGATGTCCCCTGTTCTCTTCCAGACTATCTCCTTAGGCCTTTCAAACCGAGCCCCTTGCTGTTGGGGTAGTCACCCTTCAAGCTGCCTTGCTGCCCGTCTCTCCAGTCAAGCTTGATAGTAGCAATAACTGAGAAGCACTACACCTGACTGGCTCCACTGAAGCTTAGGTGGTTGAGGGTGAATCTTCGATGTAAAATTTTTTATATGAAGATATATTTTAAATATTTCATATCCCATCAAGTTGCAGGTTAACTTTATCGATCACAATGTGTCATGATACGTTGCGCCCAAAAGGGGCAGAAACACAGGCGATGAGATATGGGAGGTGGCACCATGGTGCTTTGGAGGCATTGGCACAATGTGACCCTCTGTTGCTTACATTTGTAAGCCATGGTGGGAGTGGCCATGGAGTAGATGGCAGGGGCTTGTTGAAGGGATCGAAAGCTTTCCTAGGCCAGGCACGGTGGCTCCCACCTGTAATCCCAGCACTTTGGGAGGCCAAGGTGGGAGGATCACTTGAGGCCTGGCCAGCCTGGCCAACATGGTGAAACCCTGTCTCTATTAAAAATACAAAAATTAGCTGGGTGTGGTGGTGCACACCTGTAATCCCAGCTACCTGGGAGGCTGAGGCAGGAGAATCACTTGAACCTGGAAGCACAGAGGTTGCAGTGAGCCAAGATCATCAAGATCATGCCACTACACTCCAGCCTGAGTGACAGAGTGAGACTCCATCTCAAAAACAACAACAACAAAAAAACCAAAAAGGTCTTCTAAGTGTCATGTTCAGCACCAAAAGGAAATAGGCGAAGGTGACTCCGGAAGTTCATCTGTGACACTTAAATCTCCAGATATTTATCTCATGTGGGTCTGATTCGGGCTCAGCACTAAATTAACTCTGTGGAAAGTGTCAGTTGCAGAGCCTTCTGTATTGATGAGGCTTCCGCCACTTGTCCATGCTGAGCACCCTTCCCTCTTCCTTGGGAGCATGCTTTCTATTCCTATGTGAGGCAGCATGACTGACATAAGAGAAAGGATTTGAGCTCAAGCAAGCGTGAGATGTGGGTTCATATCTTGGCAACACTCCTGTTGGCTGTGTGATCATGGCAAACCTCGTTTTCATCTCCTGTAAAGTGGAGATGATGAAGGGAAATGGTGCCTGTACGGTGCTCAGCATCTGCTTGGCAGGCGAGTCTTCCTGCCTCCTTTCTCTTGAGTAAGCCTTTAGAACTTTCCACCTCCTGTAGAGAAGGCAGAGAAATGAATATATTCTGGGTGCCATTTGGAGTCTGGGTCTTTTGTTAAAATTGTCCTGTATTGTGTTGAAAAGTGTCTGTCACCCCCAGTTGCTGACCAAAGGCTCTGGGAGCATCTGCGATCATAAAATACTGCCATGCTTATTTTGCCTATGTTGAGATCAGTTCACCGACGCCTCATTTTCCACGTGCATCTGTCATAGTCTGGGCACCAGACTGTATTTAGAGAATGGCTTTTGCTACTGTTATGTATACACAGATCATGTGTGTAAACAAGCAAATTAAAGTAAACTGGAGATAATGAAATCCCACACTTCGGTGTTTTGTGTGTTCTTTTCTAATGCTCTTAAGGAAGTGCAGAGCCCAGTTAACCTCAGCCCACTTTGTGAAAGTAGTTAATTCTTTCTCAATTCAACTTGTCATATACAGGTTACTTTACAGCTGAAGTTGCTCCTATTTTTCCTCCTAAGTCTTGTAATATAAATGCGTGTTCAGTCATGTATTTTTAGCTTGACTTACTCCTTCCCTCTGTGCCCCTTTGTCTTTCAGTCCTGAGGTCAGGGTCAGCCAGACTTGGGAGCAGTGGTCCCTTGGCAGACGGTGGAGTAGGCCTCATGGAAGCAGCACTGAAGAGCACTTTCAGAGTTGACTCAGATGAGGTCCCCTTTGCCATGCTTTGTAGCCCTGGAGGCCTACACACATGTGAGAGCTTCTTGTGCCTTTTAGTGCCCAGTCGTTTGCCAGCCTGACCTGCTTGGCACGTCCAGGAAGTGTCTTTCGAAAGCTCCGTGGCTCCAGGATTAGAATCTCCTCCCGTTGTAGAACGTCCCTGTTCAGATTCCTTCGGTAATAACTAACCCTCCTTGGGCTCACACTGTAAGCTGGGAGCTGGGGTGGAACAATAAATTCCTTCCTTCATGGAGACTGTGGTTCAAAGTCCATCCTTTCATAGCTTAAGCTGTGTGCTGGTGAATTTGGTACATCTCTGCCTTTGAAGAGTTTTCACTCTCGTGGAGAAGACCCAGTGCCACCATAAAGTGTCTGAGTGCTGGGGCAAGGTCAGGGCCAAGAACATAGAACAGGGAACAACCAGCGGCCCTGGAGAGCCAGGGAATATTTTCACAGAAGGCAGCAATTCTTTGGGGTTTTGATGGATGAGGAGGGGTTCGAGCAGTTAGGCAGAGAAGGGAATCCAAGGCAGTGGGGACAGCACACACAAAGGCACATAGATATGTTACCATGATTTTTATGCAGACATCCATTTTTCAAGAAGCCTCACTTTTCTGTCATTTTAAAAAGCAACCGAAATAGGAAGAAAGGCAGTCTTAAAGGACTGTGAGTGGAGATCATAGATACTCCCTGCTATAACATAAAGAGCACTCAGTGCTGTGGTTTAAATGTATTTTCCAAAGTTCATGTCCTGGAAACTTAATCCCCAGTGCAACAGCATTGAGAGGTGGGACCATTAAGAGGTAATGACGTTCTGAGGATTAATCAGGATTAATGCCATTATTTTGGGAGTGGGTTTGTTACCTTGAGAAAAGCATCCTTATAAAGGATGAGTTTGTCCCCCTATCCTGCAAAACCTTTAGCCCTTTTGCCTTCCACCATAGGATGATGTAGCCAGAAGGCTCTTGCCAGATGCCAGTCCCTTGATCTTGCACTTCCCAGCCTCCAGAACTGTAAGCAATAAGTCACTATTCTTTATAAGTTACCCAGTCTATGGTCTTCTGTTATAGAAGAGGACTAAAATGCTCAGCTGGATGTTAGAGCACCTGGCTTCGAGCTGGGTTTGAGCTGAGTTCTGCTGCTGGTTTTTCCACTCTTCGGTGTGACGTTGAATTAGTCACTCAACGTCTCTGGGTTTCAGTTTCCTCCTGTAATAAACAATGG